CGCTCTGCGCACGGGTTGCCCTCCAGGAAGCGTCTGGCTGGGCTGCAGCCTCCCTGCGGGAGGAAGCACGAGACTCTTTCTCCTCCTGGCCTGTGGGCACCAAGAACCCCTACCCGGAGCTTGGCAGAGAGGGGATGTTGGCAGTGCTGCTGGGAGCGCTGCCAGCAAGCTCCAGAGCTGCGAATGAGACACTCTTCTCTTGCCTGTTGCAGCTCTCTCTCCCTCTCCCCCTGCGCTGTCATTTCAGAAAAGCGGTGGGTTTGCATCCATCCAGCAGCGAGGCTTTGTCTTACTTCTCTTTTTTTCAGCACAATTTCTGTGGGCACGAACGACTCTCACCAAGACCTGAAGTGTGGGAGGGGAAGGCTCCGTCCTCCCAGGGCACGGGAGCACTGGCTGGGCACGTGGCACGTCTGGGCAGAGCCACAGTAGGGAGGCATGGGGCACTGTGGGTGCAACGTTTGTACCGGCTGAAGGTCCCAGGCCACCCGCAGCATCTGGCACGTTCTTTAGCGGCTGTAAGAAGCAGGCAGCTGGCCGGCGGGGAGGAGAGAGCTGCCTCTGGTGCTCAGACCTCGTCCCTGCTGTGTCCCCCTGTGCTGGATGCGGAGAGGTGCCTGGGCTGGTGAGGCTGACGCTGCCTTGTCAGGGCATCCACTCCTGGGACGTGCCCCAGGACAGAGTCCCGGTGATGGCTGGAGGGCAGGTGGGGTCGGGGTGCAGCAGCTGAGCTGCTGGCCAGTGGTGCTTCACCCCATCTTGCTGCCAAAGGGTGACATTCGCTGGGACTGGGTAAACCTGACTCGGCCCGGAGATGGACACCAGCCTGTCGTGCATTTAGCCCAGGGGCATTTGCCCAGCTGCAGCATCGCATTGGCGCTGGAGTGGGCGTCAGCCTGTGCCTGACCTGGCACAGGCCCAGCCACCACTGCTGCCAGGGCTGAGTGCTGTTGGCAAAGCCCTGCAAAGGCAGAGGCGCAGAGGAGAGGGCGTGAGTGACCATGGAGGAACAGGGGCTCTCCTGCACAAACACGCCTCCCAGCTGGGTGGATCAGCCACTTGTGCTACCATTCACCCTGGACATCACCAAAGGAGCTCCAGTATCCCCCTGCACAAGCCTGGCCACCACGGGGAGGTTCATCCAGTTCAGTCCAACACAGAGAGTGAGCGCTGAGCAACAGCAAAAAGAGCATTGAAGAGAGCAACAGGCTGGAGCAGTCTCCAGCTCACATGCTTCCTCCTGGCGGCTGGGGACGCCCAAGATGGTGACAGCAGGGCATCTGAAGACCAGTGATGGGCATCACGTTTCAACTGCAACTGCAGTGTATGTATCACAACTGCAGTACTGTAATGGTATCGCTGTATCACTCTGCTAAATCAAAATCCAAGGTAACATCAAACACCTACCGAGAAGTAAATTTGGTATTAAGCATCAAATCCTCCTTGTGTGGATTGTCTAAAAGAACACATTCAGATGGTACCAGGCTCGGGCAGGTGCTGGGTCAGGGCTGGGGGATGAGGTAGGGCACTGGTCAGGAGATCGTGCTGGAGCTGGCATGGCTAGAAGCGCGGGGTGCACACACATCCCACCCCATGCACCGAGTGGAAATCCCAGTGCTTCACCCCAGGACGAGGACAGCTTTTCAACCTTGCTTCAAGCTGCAAGGCACGATCTCTAATCATGCTTGATCCTGATTGATGGTGGCTCCTCCAAAGCCACGAGCTCCTGGGCCACGTTTATGTGATATGCTGTGGAGCGCATGCTGGGTTCCTGGGCCTGTGAGGCCAACAGAGCTGCTCCAGTCCCGCCTTCAGAGGAATCGGGATGGAGATGAGCCGAGAGCAGCCGGTGGCTGCTGCAGGTGCTGCTGCTGGCAGAGCTTGTCGCTGCTGGGCAGCTTCAGCCCCTGCCCTGGCTGGATGCACCGTGCATGCTTTGTGTTGCGTGTCTGTGGGACAGATAGACGGATTCCCCTGGGGCAAAGTGAACCGAAATGTTCACTCACTTCCTCCACACCTTCCACAGCCTTGGAAACAAGGCTGTCCCTTGTTTCAAATGCTGCTCTGAATGCCAAAACCGGGGGAGGAGCGATGGGGCTGGGAGAGGAGGATGGCTGACAGAGAGCCACAGCTCACAAAGAACCCGAGTCCAGGTCTGCTTTTCACCACTCTCCCCAGCACGAGGACTGGGACCACACGGTGCTGGGAGGAGGCTGGTTTAAACCTGGTGAGAGGGATCTCCACACCATGCGGTGGGGGCCGCCCAGCCACAACTGGCAGGTCTGTAAACAGGACGCGCAGCAGCTGGCAGGGCTGTCCCGTCCGCCTCATGGCCATAGGTGCCAGGAGGGCATGAGGGAACGGGACCTTGGCAAGGCCAGCAAGTGTCCGCAAGCAGCCTCACCCCCACCAAGCAGGGATGGGCCGGACGGACCCCCATCTTGCCCCCCACCAGCCCCGGCAGGCTGCATTTGCCAAGGCTTCCCCACCACCCCGCAGAGGTAGGACACGAGAAGTTAAATTGAACTGGCGTCCTCATCAGACATGTGTTCATACGTGGGGAACACGAATTCACAGATGTGTCCAGTTGTGGCAGTGCTGTCGGTGCACAACAAGTTTCTCGTGGAACTCCAGCAAAGTAACGTGACTGTGCCTGTTTGACACACTTTGCTGTGGATTTCAAAATACAACAATCCTATACATCAAATCCTTGTCTTTTATTCTGAAAATCCCAGCTGAGTGTTTTCCCCTGCTGTGTAGTGATCTTTTCAGAACTGTTCCCCGAGTGCTGGCTGCACAGGAGGATGCGAAATTCGCTGATCCAGACTGTCAAGCTGGAACCATGGCTCCCAAACAAAAAAGACTGCCCAGGGTCCCCAAAGGGCTCTGTTCCCATCTGAGGAGGAGCACCCCTGTGACCTGGGCTTGCTTGCAGCAGACTAGGAAAGACCGATGCAGCTGCGAGGCGTTCCAAGGAAAGCTACCCCTTTCAGTCAAGCTCCCAGAGGAAGCAAGGTAACGCTGGGAAAGGGGCTCACTCACTCTTTGTTCTTGGGAAGAAAACTTTGCAAGCCCACAGCAAAGCCCACCACTGAGGAACAAGGAGCATGCGCTCCTGTCCTGGAGCACAGCTGGGTGCTGCAGTGCTGCTGCTGCAGACACTGCTGTAGATGGCTCATGGGCACAGCCCCTCCAAACCCGAAAACGTCCCTCTCGACCCTTTCCACCCGTGCAGCTGGAAGGTGCTTGGGAATCACACCCAACACACAGGTGTTCAAAGCAGGATTTCTGACAAGCTTTGAATTCCTCCTGCCACTGCAACGCAATGTCGCAGCCACCTTCCTCTTTTGCTTAAGATGTCATCAGGGCACGCTGCCCTCAAATGGGGGACAGCAAGCAGCACACAGGAGTGATCCGAAGAGCACGCCTCACTGATTGTTTCACCAGCTGGAGCAAAAGCTTTCTGGGGAGGACTAGATGGGAGAGAAGGGTTCCAAACCCCATTTACAGAAGTGGGACAGTCGCTGCAGGAGAGGTGGAACCCGCAAAGTCCCTGAATGTGCTCAGCCAGGCCTCTCCTGGCAGCTGGCGGCTTGGCACCTGCTCAGGTCTTTCTTTGTACTAACACATCATTGCGCATCTGGGAAAAAAATTAACTGGGGAGTGGAGTCCAGACTGGAGCCAGTGGGACTTGGGGGGTTGCAGAACCTCCCAGCATGAATTCCAGTTTGCAATCCACTTCAGAGCCATGCCCAGAATTAGTTACAGATGCAAAAGGCAGAGCTGGAGATGCCAGGGGAGCCATGCAAGCCTTTTTTGCTTCTCTTTAGACACCTGAAGAACAGAAACATCGCACCTTGGCACACATTCAATGAGCCCTTGGCAGTGGGCTGGCAGCAGCTCCCTTGGCAGCAGTGGGCCTGTGCCAATTGAGAAATTACCTCTCTTCCGTTCCTGGCTACAAACTGGGAGCTCAAGTACGGCACTGCCCGGCCTCTTGCTGTGACCCCCGGAGCCAGGCTTCAAGGACAGCTGCTGCAGCAGCAGTCCCTTACAGTGCAATAGATGCTCGCTAGCAAAACACACCGCAGTCCTCAAAGTGCAAACATTTCCTGAATCGGGGCCCAACACCATCCGTCGCCAGTCGAGCGCAGTAGTGATAACTGTGGAGTCCACAGCCCCCACCTCCCCGCCACGCTGTGTGCTCCACCACATGCCCAAGGGCTCCCTGTTCTCAAACGAAATGAGCACGACACATTCACTGCTTCTCTTTAATGGGTGCTGTGCAGCTCCCTCACACCCAGCACCGCGGGCACGCCGCTGCAGAGGTGGGAAGGCACAGGACTGGTCTGCATGGCTTCTCCGGGGAGCGTGGTGCCAAGTGCTGCCACGCTGCAGGAGCAGGGGGTGGGGGCCGTCACAGCAGGAGCTCGTGGGGCATGGGCTGCCCCTGCAGCCCGGCCAGCAGGTTGTTGGCTGCCAGCACCGCCATGGTGCTCCTCGTGGCGTACGTGGCACTCCCGATGTGTGGCAGAATCACTGCAGAGGACAGGGAAGGTTACTTGCTTGTTTCTTACCTTTGCTGACCTTGTACAGCCTCTCTCGGGGGTCTTCCCATGGGGGGAGGTCAACCTGGGTCCTGCACCAGCTGCCACCCTACCAGGAGCTCACATTGGACACTGGATTTAGGATTGAGGGCCAAACTGGGCAATGGAGCATTCCATATCATGCAATGTCATGCCTAGTGTATTGATGAGAGCTGACTGGGAAGTTTGGAATTCTCTTCTGAGGACCCTCTCAGACTCTCAGCGTTCTCCCTCTCACATGCTCTCTTTTTGGGCCTCTCACTTTTTGGGACTGTGATGTCGAGACTTAGTTTGGGATCGCCTGCCAGGACAGGACAGGCATCACCAGGTGGTGAGCAATTATTCTGTGCATCACTCGGTTGTATATATTATCTATCTATCTATCTAATCTACCTATCTATCTCCACAGATTATTATTATTATTATTATATCACTAATACCTTTAATTTTATGTTATTATTAAATTGTTCTTATCTCAGTCCATGAGCTTTCCCCTTCCCTTTTCCCCTTTGATTCTCTTTCCCATCCCTTGGGGGTGGGGGAGGGTGAGCGAGCGGCTGCAAGGTGTTTACTTGCCGGCTGGGTTAAACCACAACGTCGCTCGACATAACCTCCGGAGAAGACATGTGCTGGTCCTGGGACCAGCACTGTCCTAACTGCCTGAAGCCTGTTACTACCCAGAACAGAGGCTGTCTGAGCTTGCCGGGCTCCAGTTTCCCAATGAAAGTTGCCTCGGGCTGCCCAGGGGATGCACTAGACCATCCACAAAGAAACACCAGCTCGTCCCACAGTGTAGGCACTTCCTGGCCTCTGCAGCTCAGGGCTGCCTTATTTGCTGACATCTGCTGGAGAAGGTGGATGTCAGGACAAGGTCAGCACTTAAATGAGCTGTGATTCCGAGCACATGTGCCAAAACTGCGCCGGGCAGCCTCGGCTCATGCTGCACGGGCTCCCTGGTGAGTCCTGCAGTGGCTGTAGCGCTCCAGAGGCTGATTCCTCTGGGCAGACTCAGCACCAGCTGCTTAGAACATGGGAAGGTTTTCAGCAGAATATATGCCCAGGAACTACCAGAACACCGGAGTGTGGCAGGGCATGAGCAGGGATTTGGTTTCTCATTCAGTCACCCGCTGGTATCAGACTCGTCCATGAATTTCACTCCATGCCTCGGTCCATCAAATGAAGATCCATCAGGAAGGTGTTCAAAAATGAGCCAATCTCAGCTGAATTAAAATACCTCCCATGCTTGCTTTACACCTCATTGATAAGGTGTCAGTGCCTGTTGGCACCGGCTGGCTGATTGGGACTGGGCACCCCACCACGGCAGCTGGTGGGTCCC